ACCTTCCTAGTTTTAACTTCACATAAGAGTCCTCCACTGCCCATTCCTTGCCCTCCAACAAATACACGTAAAGTCTCATTCTTCTTTAGTACTAATTAGAAAATGCAATACGCCGATTCGATTTTGCTTTGCCGCGGAGGACACAAATAGAAAAGGAAGTGCATCTTCTTTCTAGCTCGGTTTGTTGGTCGTAAGTTGTATGGGGAAGAGAGAGAATTCATGGTGAAGCCATGAAGAAACGTGGGTAGGCTTGGAAAGTGACACGAGAGGGAGGGAGATTTTGTTATTTTTGGGGAAAAAGAGGAGGCGGTTTGTATAGTTTATTATTAGCATGTTTGGGGCTTTGCTGGAATTGGATACTCATACTCCCAAAACCGAAAGTTTTATTTTTGGCACCCCTGAGGAAATACGAAACCCTAAAAAAAAGATTTATCTTCCTAAATTAATCTTAATTAATTATTAGCTTAACGCATTAAAATATATAAATAAGAACAAATTTTAAAAAAATAAAATTAATTCTATCTTAATTATGCAGATGAATATTTATTTTGAACTAAAATAAAAATATAAAATAATCAGTTATTGTGGACCGGAAGGAGTAGCATGCTAGTTTTTCTTCTCTTTTGGTATGGGAGGGGAAGCGAGTTATGTGAGGAGTGTGAGGTGGTGTTAGGTAAAAAATTATTATCGTACTAACTTATCATAATCAAATAATAAATTAATATAAAAATATATATTAATTAATTATAATTTACTAATAATAGCTTATATTAAAATATGTGTCATGTATCTATTAAGTTGGTATAAATATCGGATATGTATAAATTTTTACTGAAGCTGTTAGTTATGAAAAATGCTTATCCCCATAATTTTGTGTAACTTAAAACCAAGTATAATGCCATATTATATGACTTGATCACAAAATAATCCAAAATTAAAATACATTTGAAGAATTATAGTTTTGCTAAGTAATAAACTTATGCTAAGCTTTGATAGTCGAAATATACTAATTAGTATTAATTTATCAATTAAACTAGAGCATGTGAAATTTGTAAGGGAAAAAAATATATTGATCTTAACTCAACGTCACAATTGTTTGATTAAAATTGTCAAATATTATATAAGGAGGTAACATCTATTCAGGGGCAGAGCTACACTAGTGGGTGCGGGTTCGGGCGAACCCAGTGACTTTTTCCGGAAGCCTGCATTTGTATTGAAATATTTACTAAATCTATATAAATATACACTGTCGAACCCAATAACAAAAGGGTGTTGATTCAACGGTAAGGGTTGTGGGTTCGTTGGGAAAGATGGGGGTTCGATTCTCGCTGAAATATAAAGGATATGAATATTTGTTGTAAATAAATACTGAAGTAGCATGAACGGATTTATGTGGAGTTATGTGGAGGGGGATTGGTTTGGTGTCGGTGACTAAGTGCCCCTCTTGTCTCCTTTTTTGTCCCCAAGGTCAAGAGTTCGGTTGCTCATATTCCAAAGGCGCTACTTCAATTCAAGCGCAAGCCCTCCTTCTATTGCATAACTTAAAAAGGTTATAAACAAAGTACCAAAGTAGTTGCGGGAACGATACGCTTTGGTTATCGGCGAAGGCTTCCAAAGTCCCCGTACAATTCTTTTTGATTAATTTCGTTTATAATTAATTAATTATTAAATTCCTAATTCCCCATGCTTTCCTTCTTTCCAATTAACAAACACACATGTTTTTTTAAAAAAAAAAATCCTTTTTGCCTATGTCTTTTTCATTTTCTTGTCTTAATCATTCTTTTGAGTACAAAAACTTTGAAATTCTTAAAAACAAAGTACTCGTGACTCGTCTCTCTCGGCTCTGAGGCTCTCTGTGAATTCAGAGCAGCAAAACCCCCTGCTCAATATTAAGTGATGCTTTTAAAAATCTTTTTGAATGATTGTTTAGTTTGCTATATAGAGTGTGAGATATTTAAGATTGTAAGTAATAATGTTATTACTGACCGTTTTTAAAGTATAAAATATTGTCGAGGACAATTATAAAGCGAATGATATTTTTTGCGAATATAGTATTAATATAGTTTGCTCGTCAACTTATCGTTACTATAAAATTTTATATAATGGAACCAAACATCTATTTTAGAGATAATAGTGCACCCGAATAACTACTGATGTTCCCGCGTTTGAACGTGTAGTGTGATCCATTGATTGATTAATTAATTAGTTAGCATGCTTATTGACATGCACTGACAGTCAAAGTAAACATAGGTGAAAAGTATAGTAGAAGAGAAAAAATTAGAAAAGAGGGAAAATCTTAGTGGCGTTTGGACATAAGAATTGTAAAATTTTAAAATAGGGGAAATTTTTTTTGAAGTGAAAATGATATTTTAAATTTAGAGTTATATTTGGACATGAATATAATTTTGGATTATTTTTGAAGTTTTGTGAGTGAAAATTTTGAAAAATAGTTTTTTGGAGTTTTTTAAATTTTTGAAAATTTTCAAAATGGATCTTCAGGTGAAAATTAAAAATTTTATGAACAAACGCTGATTTCCAAAAAAATAAATTTATTTTAAAAAAAGAAAAAAATTACTTATGTCCAAAAGGGCCGTTAATATGCACTAAATAACGACCACCTGGCATTTTAGCCAGCATGGAAAAGAGCGGCTGCCAATTTTTTAGGCGAAGCTTGATAACAACATTGACCAACTGCTACAAGGCAATAAAGTCATTATCTAGATTGTAATTGTAGCATACCTTAGAGGAAATAAAAAAAAACGGAAAAGGGCTAAATATATTTCTCTACTTTCAAATATTGTTTAAATCTATCATTCATTTTACTATTTAGTTATTTGAACCCCTAATGTTATACTATGAAATAAAAATATCCCTAATTTGAACGGAATATCATGTGTCAGCTCTTTATTAAAAGATCCACCCCAATTTAATTTCAATTAAAACCATCCCCAAATTAGACTCATTACCCGACCCAAACCCCTTTTACCTCATTTATTTTCTCTTTCTTCTTGTTCTCTTATATCCAACCTTCATCAATGGAAACCCTCATTTCTCCCTCAATTCTATAAAACTCTAATTAGGTAATAAAAATAAGTGAAGCAGAATTGAAAATACTAGTAGTACATGAGAAACAAGAAGAACAACATCCTTGTGAAACATTTTTTTTTGTTGTTCTTGAAACACTTTTTTTCATCCTTGAAGCTTTTTGTTTCTTGCTTTTAGGTGTTTTATTGCTCTGTTTTCATAATTTTATCATTTTCTAGATATGTTAATTGGTTTTTGATATATGTAAATAAACTAATTACTTGATCCAAAAAACTTCTTCATTTATTTTCTAGTAAATTTTTTTAAGAGAAGTGACGATCACTTTATCTTGAGGATGTATCTTGTAGCTGGGTTCTTCTTGAAAAGACTCTTGGGCGAGGATTGTGTATGGGACAAAATATACACTAAAATATTTAGGGTAATATAACATTAAGGGAAGAGTAAGCCGAGGTCGGCCAGGGAGCAGCAAGATTCATGGTCGAGACGTCAATAATGACCGAGGTCGAGCAACGCTGACAGAACAGTAACGACTAATTTTTGAAATAGGACGTTAAAAAGAATATTGTAACATTAGGCTTTGTTAGAGATATGTCTCGGAAGAACATTCGTCCAATCCACCCTTTATTAAGTAAATCATTCCTCTTATTTACTTAAATGTCATTTATTGTTATTTATTACTAGTTACACCTTCATTATTGCTCATTCTTTATGAACGTTTCGTGCCTATTATTCTCATCTCACGCACGTTTTTAAGATTCACGTCTAGAGTTATTATCTTTAACTAGGTTTAACCCATTATTACGTAAATTTAATAGTTTAGCCGAAACTTATACTTTTTGGTCAAACAGGACAACGTGAGCTTCAGGTTCAAGCCTCATGGCAGGGGATCAAGTAAGATCTTAGCATATGGGTTTCGGCTGTTACAAAATTGAATCGGGTCAAATGAGGTGGGTAAACGGGGAAGGGGCTAATAAAAAGGGGTGAGTTTAATTGAGCCATTTGTTATGGTTCTAAAAGAAATTTGAAGAAGATAAACTAAGGTTTAAAACTCTGCTGGAGAACAACATCTGAAATGGGGCGTTCAAGAAAAAACTGAAGAACCCAATAATGTTTTCCTCTGCCGTTTTAGGCTCAAATTTGTTGTTCGATAGACTACCTTCATAAATTACAACCAAATTCTAATTCCATAGCAAAAAAATTAGATACTTTATTTTAAACAAACAAAAAAGTTAATCATGGAATTTTAGGTGAAGATAATAATGGAGTAGTGGGATAATGGATGGAGAAAAATTCTGAAAGTTTGAAATAGTTTTTTGTTTTCTTATCTCAAAGTTTGGGAAAATGAATAATGTGTAATGGGTAACAAAATTAGGGCCGGGTCGGACGTCAAAATTTGGGGTAGTCTCGTTAATTTTGAAGTACCACGTGTTATTCAGTCCAAATTAGGGGTATTTTTATTTCATAGTATAAAAGTAGAGACTCAAATAACTCGATAGTAAGACGGAGGATAAATTTAAACAATATTTGAAAGTAAAGGAATTTATTTGGCCATTTTCCGAAAAAAATTGTAACACAAGAGCAGATTATTGGGTGTAAATATTAATATTGTAGCACAAAAGCAGTTAATTGGGAAAACAAAAAGATTGTCGCAGTATCTTGGTTATTCATGTAAAGCTTTGTGGTCAAAAAAGAATTTATACTCTATTTAAGGGGTGGGCATAAAATCCAAAAAATCGAATTCTGAACCGGACCGAATTAATTCGGTATTTCGATTTCGATTTTTTCGGTATTTCGGTCTAATTCGGTATTACGTTTTTGGTATTTCGGTATAACGGTACGGTCCTCGGTATTAGGATCTTGAAATTTCGGTATACCGAAATACCGAATTTTTAAAGACTTTTAAATTGGACCTATATCTATGCATACTGCCGAGTGCCCCAGCCCAACCCAATAAGATCCAGTGCCCCAGCCCAACCCTTATCTCTAGTCTTTCATTCAATTAGGGATTAGGCATTAGGGAATTTAGAAAGGGGGATGGTTTCAGAAAGTCAGAAAACGGCAATACTGCAATAGTGAAAAAGGTGATGAGGATTCCTGGTGGTTTTGGAAAGTTCAGATTTCTGTGGGACTAAGACGTTGCTTGAGCTCTGATTTTGATATGTTTTCTTTTACTGTAGGTTATAGCAAATTGGTGAACGGGATTGAAGGCTCAAGTTGTTCTTTGGAGCTTATTGAATCACATGTTTGTTACTGTTTATCTACTGATGCTACTTGTATATAAACTGAGTTTGTTGATTAGGGAGGGCTTGAGGGGGATTACTTGCAGATTTAATAGACACATTTACTTGGTTCCTTAACAAACTGGACATGCTATAGTTTTATGGTATATGACTGTCTTGTTCGTCTAGCTGACTGAACTAAAGTGTTAAAGGTGAAATACCAAATAAACTGCAGGTGGGTGGAATATCTCCATCCATTCCTTTGATTTTTCTTTCTGTCTCTAAATATTCAATTTGATTGTCATATCCAATTTGATATTTTAGCACTGGTGGCCGTATTCTTGAATCATTTAGGAGTTCATTGACTCCTTAATGTGTGCAAGCTCTTGTTTGTGTTCAAAATTGGCTTAGAGAAGAGAAGAATCCTATTAGTGTTGAAGAATACTTGGAGTATCTTGAGAAACTCGAGCTTGGTAAGCTTTAATATTTTGTGTGTATTTTAGTTCAAAATAATATATCATACTTGTTTATTTGTATGACATATTTGGTCGAATTATCTTTAGATATGGAAAATAATGGAAGCAGTACTAGCATTGTTTGATGTATAGTTGCAACTTGCAACTTGAGTGGTAAGTTTAATACTCTATTTGGTTGGTGATATACTTTTGTAGTTTTATTTTATTATCATTAAAAAATAATATTCTAACCTATGATTTATCTTTTTTTTAAGGTTCAAGTGCAATCATGCCCCGTGCTCCTAAAGTACGCTCTCATATTTGGGAACATTTTGAGGTAAAAGAAGATAACGGAGAAGTTCGCAAAGTAAAGTGCAAGCATTGTGGTCGAGTCTAAAATGTTAATCCAAAGAGGGATGGTACATATAGTTTAAGGAAGCATATTAGGTGTTGTCTTGAGCGTCTTCCTGAAATCTGTATTTAAGAATTAAGACTAGGTTGATTCGAGACTATTAGTATAAACTTGAATTGAGGGATGCCCTCTTTGTTATTTTGTTGCACTGTGTTTAATTCTGCTACAACTGTTAGAGTCTGCTGCTACTGTTGTGTTCTCTGAGCTTATGCATGTAGTGTCTTAAATTAGTGTGCTGCTTTCTTTTCTTGACTGTGTTTATGGTTCTGTGTTTATGGTTTTGCATGTCTTAAATCTGTCTTAAATGTTGTGTTTATGGTTTTGCATGTCTTAAATCTGTCTTAAATGTTGTGTTTATGGTTTTGCACTTGACAGAAAAGTCGATCGTCAATGTGTGGCATCAAAGATCTCTGAATGTTGTGTTTATGGTTTTAAACTGAATTGTGAATTCATTGTGAACCACTGAATCAATTTCATAGATTGTTAGATGAAATGGGTCGAAATAGATTTTCACCTGATTTTCATACATTTAACATCTTGCTTCAAGTTTTTGGTAAAGGAGACAAACCGCTAGGAGAGGGCTGCCAGTGAATTATGAATTCATTTAGTGAATTATGAATTCATTGAATCACTGAATCAGTGAATTGTGCACGGAGAGGGTTGCCAGGTGTCATAAGCTTATTTAGCGATTATTAAACCGAAACCGTACCGAACCAAAATAAAAAATACTGAACCATACCGAAATAATTTGGTACGGTATTTGGTATACACAATTGATAAACCGAATACTGAAATACCAAACCGAAATTCTTAAATACCGAACCGAAATACCGAATACCCACCCCTACTCTATTTCACTTATTTATACTCCTCGCATTTTAATTAACATGACCTAATTTGATGTGGCATATAATTTAAATTTTAAAAAAAATCTTTGGCCTTGTATTTTTATGCTTATTATCATATTTATATGATGGCTATAATCAGAGTCGGACTCAGGATTTGAAGGTATATCGGGACACATGAGTGGACTGCTCAACCAATGCCCTCATCGACTTTTGATCTTAAGAGTTTCAAGCAAAATATATGACTGTTTTCAACTTATATACACATATATGTCCAGAATTTTTGCCGAGGTTAACGGGGTCCGATGATCCCTTTACTCGATCTAAACATAAGTCAGTCTCTTGCTACAATACTTTTGAGATTTATAATACCTTTTAAATATATAATAATATTTGTGTGATCATAAAAACTTGTCATTAAAGATAAAATAGAAAATTTTAAATAAATGTAACATTCTTCTTTAAATAAACGAAAAAGGTCCATTAATGCGAGTGAACTATACGAAATTGTACACATTTTCTCGTCGTTAAAAGGTGGACTCAATACTGCCCTTGCCGTATATAAGGTGGATCATATATGTCATTTTTTAGACGGACCTCACTAATAAAATGTTTAGCATCAGATTTTGACATGTGTCAAAATTCGGTGCATTCCATCTATACCCTAATTTAAATAACAAACCAACCCGACCCATCACCCTTATTTTATTAAACTGACCCGACCCAACCTAGTACCATATTTTAATAAATCTCAATCCTATTTTATTACTCCACTCTCTCATCTCACTTTCTTCTCCTAAACTCTCCTGAGGACAATGAGGAGAGGAAAACATAAGATAAATTGGTGGTAGAGGAAATTATCAGTCGTAGCATAGAGTAAGAGCCAAAAAGAACAATGAAATTAGTATTTGGGGAAGACATAAGATGGGCTCAAGTTCCTCTGAACTGCAGCATCTTGACACAGATGGAGGTCATAGGTGATCATTTCCCAAATTTAAAAGCAGTCCTAATCAAGTATAGGGACCAAGAAAGCGACCTGGTACAGTGACGACAAATGAGGAGTTAAGATGGGCTGAAGTTTCAGTTCAACATGGTTCCGTAAGACTCTATATCATGAAAGTTAATCCAGAGCAGGATCTGTTCTATGAGAAGATCAAAAGGGAGGAAGATGAACATAAATACAACGCACGACATAATCAGATTGTTGAAAATGGGTATGTTGAAGAAAACATGAAAAATGGGCCAGTTTGCATTGATGATTAGATCTTTCAGTTCTCTAATTTGTTCAAGAACTATGTTGGATTTGAGTCTGATGCTTATCTGGATCTCCATGAAGTCAGAATTAAGCTATACTCTGACGCTTTAGAAGAGGCAGTCACAAGTGAAGAAGCTCAATGCCTTTTCAGTAGAGCCGGAGAAATATTTCAGGAGATGGTTGCTTTGGCATTGTTCAACTGGGATAATGTACATTGTGGTTAGTTTGAAACTGATGGGTTGTGTTGGTTTGTTATTTAAATTAGGATATAGATGGAATGCACTAGATTGTAACACGTATCAAATTTTGGTACTAAATATTTTATTAGTGAAGTCCATCTAAAAAATGGTATATGTGAACCACCTTATACACGGCAAGGGCAGGATTGAGTCCACCTTTTAACGACAGACAAATGTATATAATTTTATATAGTTCACTGCATAAATGGACCTTTTCTGTTAAATAAATATCATATAATAAAATGTAAAGGATGAAGTATTCACTAACTATAATTGCTTTTATGTGCAAATTTCATTCAGAAAGAATCAAGATGGATCACTTTTTCTGTGCCAATAGGCAATAGCGTGACACGATAATATATTCCTGCATGGAATTCTGAATGGTCCCTTTACCAGAGGAAAAACATGTTTTGGGCAACGTCTAAAGATTGATTTCAAAAAACCAATGTTCGTTGTGAGAAGAAAGTTTTAATTTTTTCTGAAAAAATAATAAAATGGCAGGTTCAAACTTGCTATTTACCGTAGATCATGGCAGTGGGTATATTTTTTATGTTTTACTTTTGACTTCTTCTATCATTCAAAATGGCCGCCTATTCAAACGATGGTTGTTTTAAGGAAAAATCCACAAGAACGTTTTTTTTTTGTTAAAGGGATGATTATATTAGTAATTAAGGCAAAAAGGGTACATCATCTTCGAAGGGGTATATAGTACCCCTTGTTTTGATCAACAATATAAATACTACATTCCAGAATATTTTTTGAAAATACAGTTCCTAGGATGTCTACCCAAAAAGCTTCATTTGCAAACACCGCAGGAATTACCAATATTATTGTTCTTCCAAAAAGATCTTTTTTCGCTCCTTCCTTTGCTAGTGGGTCAGCTACCGTGTTCTTCTCTCTGTAGCTGTGTTTCACCACTGTCCCTCTCACTCTTTGGATTATTGACCTGCATTCAGAGATAATAAAATTATAAACATAGTTTCCCATTTTTAGCATTCTTAATACCTCTGTTGAGCCAGTATTGACTTCCAGTGGTTTAGGCCTCTTTGCTCTGCAATTTCCAATCCCTGTAATAGTGCAAGGAGCTCAGCTTGGGTATTAGTTGTTTGTGGCATGCTTCTCATAAATCCCAGAACCTAGTCACCACTGGAGATTCTGAAAACATCCCACCCTCCACCCTTTCCCGGATTCCCTAGTCCAGCCCCATCAGTGTTAAGCTTGTATTGGCCCCTCAATGGGGGATCCCATTTGACCCAGATGATCACCTTTTTTCTGGGTATATCCCCTGATTAAATAGTATGAAATTCAGTTGCCCTTGCAATGACATTAGGGATAGAGACCTGGTCTCTTTTATTGTTGAAAAGGGTGTTGTTCCTGGATAGCCACAAGTGCCAGAAGCAGAATGGAAAAATATCTCCCCAGCAAAGGTTATCGTTGAAAGCTCTATTCCGGAGGTTGGTCCATGTATTAGACCAAGAAAGTCTCGTGAAGGTGTGGTTTTGCTGCAGGGTTATGGTAGTGCTTTTGGAGATGAGGTTGTGCCAGAATATTCTGGCATTGAGGCATTCAAAGAAGATGTAGATAGCTGTTTCAAACTTTCAATTCCAGATGAGCAGAAACAACATAGTGGTTATAGTTAACACCAATTTTCTAGAGCAAAGCACATGTAGGAAACCTTCAATGGTACAAAAGCCATAGAAAGGTCTTAATCTTGTTAGGGACCTTGAGCTTCCAGATCCATGTGTAACTCGTGTTTTTCTTTTCCAAATTATGGACAGTTTTGCTGGTGAGGAGGGTATAAGCTGAAGAGGTCATTGCTTGTTTGGCCTCAAATCATTTTATCCTCCTTTGTGGAACTATATAGGATGAAAGTGAATGCGATTAGGTCCCTGATGTTGGGAGGGATATTTAAGGATATGGAGGAGGTATCCCATTCACCAATGTTATAAATGGTGGTCACTTTGGCAGCATGATCAGCTGGAGTGAGAGGTCCCTCAATCATGTTCCTAATGGAGGGATAGTTGGGGGATCCAAGAATCATTGAGGGAACTCACTCTATCACCTTTATAAATCACCCATCTGGCAGCATGGCTGCATGTGTCCCAACCTTTGAGGATACATTTTCATGTAAGAGATTTTGTCTTTTTTGGAGATGTGATTCCAATTGCAGTGTTTTGCAATGAGAGTTAGGGAAGAGGGGTTGTAAAAGTGTCTCCATGCAAGTCCATCATGAATAACTTTGTTCTTGTATTTAGCTTTTTGAATCCCAAGGCCTCCCTAGCTTTTAGACATGGTGACAGTGTCCCAACTCACCAGGTGCATCTTCTTCTTGTTAGGGGTGGTGCCCCAAATGAAATTTCTTTGAATTTTATCAATTACTTTGGTGATTTTTTTAAGGGAAGTTTGATGAATTGCATGACATGATTTGAGATGCTATTCAGAGATGTTTTTGCTAGGATGATCCTCCCAAGTCATGTTTAGAAAACCGGTCTTTCACCCAACTAATTTGGATTGCATATTGTTAATGATGAATTGGAAGTCGCTATTTACTGTCCTTTTATGAAAGATTGGGAAGCCCAGGTATTTTTCAAAGGTGGAGGATGCCTAGATGGACATCTTGGCAATGTGTGCCTCCACCTGGTCAGGTTTGCAATTAGCAGAGAAGAAGACTCTTGACTTGGTGAAATTAATTTTCTGGCCTGAAGCATTATTGAAATAGTTGAGAGTATTAATTATGGTGAAGCAATTCTTGGAGTTGGCCCTAGAAAATAGTGTTAGATCATCAGCAAACAAAATATGTGAGATCTTGGGGCCAGATCTACTGATGCTAATTGGGCACCAATCCTTGTCATGTACAACATCATCAATTAGCCTAAAGAGTCTCGATACACATTATGAAGAGGTAGGG